AACATTAGCCATTCCTTACTTTGAGCAACACTAACTTGAAATTGGCAAGATCAGAAATCATTTCATTACATGTGGACTCTCTCTACAACAAAATTCAAGGGGCCAGAATTAATCATTGTTGAGGGAATTTTGTTTTACAGAACCCATGTAACATAAGGAAAAATCCCTTTGGGAACAAAACAAGTATTTGCTATTCTGTGCCCAGAATATTGTTGTAGACAAAACCACTGTAGAAAGAGTACACCTGTATTAGATTTAACATACTGTTCAGAACAGGGACAATGTTATTAAATAAATGTTGTATTCTTACAGTATTGAGACATTTGGTATATATAGCAATGCTGAAAAATTAATTTATTTTTTTCTATGACAGGTATACTTAATTTCCTCATACTGATTGTGAGAAAAAGAGATGTCGAATAGACAAACTCACAAAGCTGAAAAATGCGGTATAGAATGGATTGACAGTAAGAAAAAAGAAGTGATTGAATTGAAGACGAGAGTTGAAGTTCCTTTTCGCGAGAACGAAGAGTTAGATGTATAAATATGAGCTAGGTAAATCAGCTGGGACAAAGTCCGAGTTTGAATGAGTTATATTTCGTTTGATGATAAACACTTGGTCAGAATTTCGGAATTCGGAGTTTTTGCGAGACGAAAAAGCTTCTCTGCTCGGAGATCTGCTCAGGTTCACACTTCGAATGCGAGTGATGAAAATCATGCTGAATTTGGGAAACAGGAAAAGAGTTGCTGAAGGACGCGGATTAAGAAATCCATTGAGAAGATGTCCTTGCTGGGCCTGGGAATCGAACTCGGGTTCGGTTTAGAAAGAGTACACCTGTATTAGATTTAACATACTGTTCAGAACAGGGACAATGTTATTAAATAAATGTTGTATTCTTACAGTATTGAGACATTTGGTATATATAGCAATGCTGAAAAATTAATTTAATTTTTTCTATGACAGGTATACTTAATTTCCTCATACTGATTACATGCACATGCATTCAAGTCTTTATTTTCTATATATTTTAAGATTAATGCCAAGATTGAAAGTGCGATAGGTAGAATTTTGTCAGCTTTGTGGTTGGAGTTTTTTTGTGTTCATGAATTGGCATGACATTCCATGTTGCCTAATTCAGTATACTGAAACTGAAACATTTTTTCCAAAATTTGCACATGCAGGTCTTTGAAAATTTTAAAATTCAAAAGATGATTTACAATTGTAATAACTTTGTAGGCATATATAATAAATATATACCATTTTATAAGGGTTGGTTTTAATTTTTGTTCTTGGAGTCATAAAAATGGCCTTTACTACTGCACATTTCACAAACTATGATTTCAAAAATTTATCTAAGACCTTCTGTGCTCATCATTTTTGTCAAAAATCTTCAAAATAACATCATTTTCTGGACACCTTATTTGGAAAAAATATATTTGAAGAGTTTCAAAGGAAGTTCCATGAAAACTTCACAAGGTTATTTTTTATTCAAAACTTCTATATAGTTTTGGCATTCAAAATTTAATGACATAATTTTATAATTTCTAATTTTTCATATCCAAGTGGCCTAAATCAGTTCAGTATACTCAAGTTGAGACTGGATTTTTCAAAATGTATGCGTGCAGGCCTTGGAAACATTTTAAATCATATACCTTTTAAAATTTTAATCATATGATAAATATGCCATTTTATGAGGGTTATGGCTAAGGGGTATTTTTAGTTTTGTGATTGGTGTTATAAAATTTGCGCATATTCTGCACATTTCACAAAGCGTGCTTTCTAAAATTTATGTAAGACCTTCTATGCACATCAATTTGGTTGAGAATCTTCAAAATAACATTTTTATCATTTTTTGGTCACATACTAAAAAGACAATACATTCAAAGAGCCTCAGATAAGCAAATTTCATAAAACAAGGTATACTTCCAATAAGTGGTCTAATTCAGTGTACTGAAACATTTTTTTCCAAAATGTGTACATGCAGGTCTTGGAGCATTTTTACAATTATTACTTTCACAATTGTATACGCATACATGATGAATATATACAGTCAAACCCCGTTAAGATGCCCCCCAATAAAGCGCCACCCTTGCCAACTGCCAAAATTTTGAATGAAACAAATCTCCTCTATGTTAAATTCTATAAAAAAAAACCTCCATAAGATGCCAACCGCCATCTGCCAGCATTAGTGATGAAACAAAACTGCTGCTTCCAATTAGTTTTGTCTTTTTTTTTACAATGCCAACATTGGGGTAGAATTATAATTTCTGCCAAGGATCTTGTGTTTGTACAAAAATAATAATAATGATGATTTTGTTGAAAATTATTTTGACCTAATCTTAAAATTTGAATAAATTGATACAAAAAATAATAATAATGATAATTTTGTTGAAAATTATTTTGACCTAATCTTAAAATTTGAATAAATTGATGCAGCAAAATTCATTTTTTGCAAAAGTAATCCATTCATCACAGCAATACTGTTTGGAAAATTACTGAAGTTTCTTACATAAAATGTATCTCTATGACTTTTGGAGGAAAATCAAGTATTTTTGATCAAATAATTAAAATTAAATATTTGATAAACCGCCAATAACCTCTTTAAACCGCCAAAATTGCTCTGGACAAATGGTGGCGTCTTATCAGGGTTTGACTGTACCATTTTATGAGGTTTGGTTTTGAAAAGTTTCATGAGTTTTGGGCTTGGAGTCATAAAAATGGTAATTTGTTCTCGCCCAGAAGTTCAATATCTCTTTGGTGTTCGAAATTCAACGAATTAATTCTTTTTTTTTTCCATTTGAGATTCGCGTTTTTCCCGGCAGAGTCACCTGGGTCTACGACACCGTCACGCGGGGAAGCAGCCACAATGGCTGCCAGGAAAGAAGTAGCTGCCTTTTGCTGCCTCGTTCCTTCCAAAGGAAACGCTTCCATTATTTGCAGCTTCATGGTTGCCAAAGTGCCGATGTAGCCGTGAATGGCGTCTTGCAATTCGTCCCGGATTTTGGCGACGGAATCGTAAGAGCTTCCGTAAATGCGGCGCATCTTCTGCTCCGTTGGCAACCCCAGCAAAGTCTCCGCATTTGGCAACACCAGCTTGAGTTGCTCGTAATCCGCTTTCTCTGCGTGGAAAATTGTTTTTTTTTTGTGTTCGAAAATTATTTTGAAAATACTCTTTTTTTTCTTCTTTTGAATATAACTCACGTGAATACGACAATGCCGCAAAACTGAGGAACACGAAGAATTTCAGCAACATTCTGATTTTGAAACAAAAAGGTTCTTCGAATGGCGGACTTCTGGAATTTAAACCTGCATTTTGAAAAATTTCAATATAATTTTTCAGCCTTTCAAAAAGCACTGAGTGAAATATCCTCTTTTGTGTTACTTTCAGCAGAGGATTGACATTTTCAGATATGATCTTTTAAAAAAAATTTTTTTTTACGAATAGGATATTACAAAACCTTGAAAAAGCTTTTTAATTTAATGGAAAAAATCACTCCAACTACTCACAGCTGATTTATTATGAGTTGGTTTTGGTGGTCAAATTTTTTATGAAATAATTTTCTAATATCAAATTTGTTGTGAATTCAGGAAAAAATTAATGCTCAGATTTGTCCTAGAGTCATAACATTTCAGAAGAGAATGTGTGGTTCAAAAAATTGAGGGAGAAAATTTACATTTTACTTTCCAGAAATTGTTATCCTTGGAAAATGTAAAAAAAAATGTGAAATTAATTAGCTGATTATCAGCTGCATTGAGTTTAGATTTCGCATTTCACAAAAGTACTGCATTTTTAATTAGTCTTGCATATATATCAATTTATTTTTTCAGCTTTTTAAATCAAGAAATCTAAACAAAAAACACAATTGACCCAATTTATGGAATACAGATATAAGAATGAATTAAGATTTCTTTCCAATTCATAAGCCAGCTTCATTCCTCTTCAAAATATTGCAAAAAGTTGAGAAAACCTCAAATAGTACGTCATATGTAACAAAATTCATATCTAATGGATTGCTGCACAACTTGAATGATGGATGTCAGCTTTTCTTATCAAAAATAAAAAAGCTAAAAATCTTCTTCCAAATGAAAAACATTCAGAAAATATTCAAGCCACACAAATAATCTTTTGCTGTGAGGAAGATATTGGGCTCATTCAAGTTCATGCTTCAGTAAAAGGGACTAATTTATATTCAAATGCTTTGCAAAATTGCTCTCTGATAAGGAGAGAAATCTGTTGTTCATCACAAATGAAGATTTTGTGTGACCCATTTCTTGGTGATTTTATTGTGAAATGCCATGCATGATTGACATGGTGTTTTGGTTTCAATATTTGGACTGCATTTCATATACTTTTAGTTCCTCAGAAAAAAATATTTCCCCATCATGTATATAATCAATTTGAATGCAGGTAATTTTCAGAATACAGTACCAAAAATAAAAATGATATTTTTTGTTTTAAACAAGTGGTTTTACAGATGCAAATTGATAGTTTTTTGTTGTTGCTACAAATTAGTTTCCACTTCAATCTACCACACTTCATTCACTGAAAAGGAAACCCAGGACTTCGATTTAAGATTCATTCCTCCATCACTTGAGGCACAAGACTGAGAAAGACACCCCATGAACTGGATGGAACATCCTTGTCAATAACAAGTGGGACACCATCACCATCATCAGCTGGAAGCCCTCAGAGATTTTTATCTGTCCTTCCCCCAAGGTTGGGAGGACATCATGGATACCCAGAAGCCAATTACCTCCTCCAAAATATCAAGGAGGGGGACCAGGGCACACTCATCACTTCCAAAACATTCCAGCAATCCAATCCCCTTTGTTCTCCATCCTTCAACATCTTTCATCATGAAGCATCTTTTTTGTATTCATCATCTTCACCCACCATATGAAATTCTTCAGAAGGAACTCAATATTTTTTCCCTCCTCTTAACCTTGTACATATATGATATCCCAGCACCAGAATGGAACTCTTCAGAAATGAAAAACATGTGTTTAAGAACACCAATGACCTCTTTTTATTTGTTCAACAGAAAGCAGGCCTTCCAATGCTGAGCACCACAAAGAAGCACTGATCATCAATCCATGGAAAAAGAGTAAGAAATGGCAGATGTTTTGAGCAAAGGAATAAAAATAATTAATTTAGTGAAAAGTTGGACTAGCAGCGGCGGAAGTGACCAAAATGCAGCTTGAAAATTGAATCCCTGGTCTCCAGGCAGTTGAGGTTCTGCACTTGGTCTTCATATCTGTGTCTGAAGTCAAAGACCCACTTGACATCACAGTCACAGATGATTGGGTTTCCTGATGAGAGAGAAAACAAAACAATTAATGTAAGTTAATTTAGTAGTGTCACTTCAATTGGAAGTCAGTTTCTACAACAACAACAAATGCTTGGTAAGCCAGAAATTGTTGAAGATGTATACAAAAGAATACAGTGATGCCAACTCAAACTTATTAAACAGTCCAAAACAAAATTTGCTGCAAAATATTTTATCTAGCAACTTTTTATCCTCAAATTTGAGTATTGTTTTGTGGGTTTATAGTCATTTTTGTTGTTGCCAGAAATGCTTTTTTGGGTTTGTCTTCCTCAGACATGTTTTTTCAGTGTTTCTTATTTTGCAATAAAATGCTGGTTTAGAAATGAAATTACTCACCATTGAAATTCATAGTGTAAGCAGAGGCAAGCTCAACAGGGGCACTGTGAAGCAAACTCTGTCTCTTCCTCCTCACAACTGCTGGGATAGTCTCCAGATTGTTGTTGGTCTCTATGGCAGGTGCAGCAGGCTCAGCAGCCACCTTGGGCTCAGACACCACCACTTGAGCAGCTGCTTGAGCAGCAGCTTGCACAGCACTTGCAGCTGCCACTGCTGCAGCAGGGTTAGTCCTGATGGCTGCCAGCAATTCTTCCCTGATCTTCAGGAAAGGTCCAAAAGCTGTGAGAGCAGATGATGGTTCAGCTGGAACCAGTTCTTGGGGTGCTGCAGTGGGCTCTGGAGTTGTTGGTGGTGGTGGTGGAGGTGTTGTGGTAGTGGTTGTGGTGGTGGTGGTGGTGGTTGAAGGTGCAGCTGTGCTTGGAGGCTGTGTGGGAGCAGCAGTAGTGGTGGTGGTGGTGGATGGTGGTGGTGGTGGTGGTGGAGGAGTTGTAGTGGTTGGTTGCATGAAGTTTCCTGTCAACAGTTGCAATCTTTCCAAAATGCTCAAAAGTAGGTTTTCAGTATTTGGAGCTTGTGGAACAGGTGCCTGTGGTACCACAACAGGTGCTGGAGCAGGAGTTGGTGCCTCAGTAGTGGTTGTGGTAGTTGTGGTAGTCACTGGAGGGAAAGTAGGTGGAGGATCAGTGAACAGAGGTGCAGTGAAGGGAGCAGAGGTGGTTGTTGGGTTGGAAAGCTTCTCCAGTCTGTCAATCTGTGAGAAAATGGTCTCCCATTCTGCCCTTTCCAATGCTGAGATGTCATTGTTGCTGAAGTCCACATGCTTGGCATATGAACCCCTATCTGGAAAGAATAAAAACAAATTTGAAATCTCACATTGGGCTGAAACCAATCCCAGTGGAAAACCATTATATTGGATATTTTCTCATTTACTAGGTGAAACTTTTGTGATAGGTAATATACTGTATACAGGCAACCAGGTTTAGCAAACAGATTAGATCAAAATTTTGGATGGGTGGGTGTATGCATACATGTTGGATGTCTAGTTTTATTTTGCCAAGTGTGATCTCTCTTTTGGTTTTGTTATTGGTTTGTCCTTTGTTTCATGCTTTAAAGTGATTGAATGTCTTTTGGGGGGAGTTGGGTTGGGTGGGGAGGGGGTTTGGATGCAGGAGTCTTGGTTGTGCCTTTTGAACGCTGAAAAGCAGCAAATAAAGTGTTCTGTTCATTCATTCATTCACTGGATATTTTGGTGTCATTCAAATTCACATTTGAAGTCATTTCTCATTATCATTGGTATAGCAAGTATAAAATTGAAATCAGACCATCATTTTGCACACTAAGCCGCAAGATTTCTTACAAGCATATACAGTCACCCCCACAGAACAGATTTTTGCACACAAGACTGCCACTGGATGAGGTTTTCTCTTCTGTGAAATATATGGACTAAATCCACAAAACAGATTTCTGTTGCTTCAACATTTAATGATGAAAAGTAAAAATTTTAATATTCTAATAATGAAATTGGTATAACAGACTTTTCACACAAAAGACTGGTCAGTTGCACAAATTAAGTCCATTGTGTGAGAGGCAACTGTACACTGCAAATGCTCCAATAAATGCCTGATCTCCATTAAACACAGGGTTTTCAAATGGGGTTCAAAGGGAATAATAGCTGATCTCATAATAGTGGCCAAGTCAAATAAAGGGGATGGTTAAAATAATTTTGTTAATTTGTTGATCCTTATAATCTTTTCTGGCACAATCTAGTCTTGAAAACTCAACAATTTAACCCTTTCCTTTTAGTAATTTCTTATGCATTCCTGTCCCATTTCCAAAAATCAGTGGGAAATCCAAGTTTTTTTTTCTATTTTCCCTTTTTGTATGCCCCATTTTTTCTTTCAACTTGTTCCACAGTTTCAACTGTTTGAAATAATAGCCAGTCTCTAATAGAAGCTGGTCTGTATTCAAGGCCAGATGAAAATTGAAAATGGGAAATAAATGCTGGGGTGTCTATTGGAGCATATTTAGTATGTATAAATAGTTCACATATAGAGGACAAGTGACAAAAAAACAACAATTGAAGCTTCTGTACTCACTTGGGAATGCAGGATCAGAAAAGGCTTCTCCATCAATAGTGACAATTTTGTTATTGGACAAGTCAACCAAATCTGGAGGAGTGCTGAAGAAAAGAGCTGCAGTTGGGATTTCTCCAATCTGATTCTCTGCCAGGCTGAGGAACTTCAGACTGGGCAGACCCCTGAAGGCAAATGGTCCCATGTCCAAAATGACATTCCTCTCCAAGTGAATCTCCCTCAAGCGCCTGCTGATTCCATCAAATGCATAATCAGGCACTTCCAGGATCCTGTTGTCATTCAGCCTGAGGATTTCCAAGTTGCTGAACCTGGAAAGAAAATTTTGGGTTAAAAAAAAATCTGGTGTGTGACACACATTAATGTTTGATAATTTACATAGCAAAGTCCTCATATTGCAAGACCTCCAGCAGGGGATTATTCCTGATGGAAATGATCTTTGGGTTGGCATTCTTGCCCAAGGCCATCCTTTGCATGGACTCCAACTGAGGGTTGTTCTCAATGATGTATTCATCAGCTTGTGCAATGCCAAAGGCAGCCTGTGGCAGTTCCCTGAGCTGAGACCTCCTGATGATGATCTGAGAGAACACTGGTGATCCACCTGCAAAACCTGGTTTGAGGCCTTCAATGTTTTGGAACTCTTGAGGATGGACCACTAGGGAACAATCTAGGATTGGCTTGGCCCCAGGCACTGTGGCCCTGAAGCACTTGCAGGAGCCTAGGTTCTGAGGACACTGGCTAGCTGCTAATCCCAGGATTGCAGCCAACACTGCAAATTGCTCCAGCATCATTTCCTCTCCAAAACCCACTGGTTATCTCTGCTGTTGCAGAAATAATATAACAAAACATTAGTAAGTGAGTCTCAACTATACAGACTTCAATGCAAAACTTTCAGTCCTTGAAAGTTGAAACACCTTCACATTCAAAATAATTTCACCATTTTACATCAAAATATGCATATTTTTTTACTTTTGAAAATTAATCAGGCAATGCTCAAGGGAACATAATTTGTTACATTCTTATGCAACTCTTGAAACATGTCCAAAGCAAAACAATTATTGATTGCAATGAAAATAATCTCTTCAAAATCATATACAGAGTATTCATCTTAAAAGTTGATTGCATCAGCTTCATCAAGCAAATTTATACTGACTCAGCTCCTTTTTTTTATCTGTCAAACAAGACCCTCCAAATGAAAAAAATACTTTTGTGAGAGTCCTCAAGAATTATTAGATTGCAAAAAATTATCTTTAATTTGGATGACCACATTTCCTAAGAAATCTCCATCACCACACTCTTCTTTTGTAAAAAAAACCTATTTTATGAAACATCAGGAAATTTCTCCTTTGAAATTTGGTTTTCAAATTCTTGGAAGACATCAGCTTGCATTTCTGAAATAATTTTAATCTAAAAAAAGAACTAGTTTAGCCAACAAAATCACAACTTTTAGAGCATATATAATGTAATTGACTCAATGTTGAAAGCTGCTGGTTGGTTGAGCAGCAAACAGTATCAAAATGTGTCCCCAGTTAAGTTGAACAAAATACTTCAAACTTTTGTTGAGGTTTAAAATGAAAACAGTTTTAAGATTCTTGAAGCTAGCAAAACTAAGTGAGTAAAACTCAATTCATCAGAATTATTTTAGAAACAATTTGAATTAGTCCAAACAGGTTTTTTATGCAATTTTTTGTGTGGCTTTTTTCAAAACATAATAAAAGGTTACACTTTTTTCTCCATACCATTCCCATTTCAGATTATTTCAAAATGCAGAAATCAAGTTATTCTAATCAAAATGTTCCATCTTATTCGCAAAAAACAACAATAAGTCCCAAAAAACATTACATCAAGAAATACTTTATTTAAAATTATCACTTATTTCAAATGACTATATACTTTCCATGATTTTTTGACAAGTCTGTAAAATCACATATTTGATAAACTGGGCTTTGGAAAAATTCCCAGATAGAATCACAATTTTTTGATAGCCCATGGAAAATACAGCATTCCTTTTGAACATTTTTGTGACAAAACAAGAAACAAACGTGCGACACTTTTCAATTCATTCATTCACTGCTTCAAACATTCACTTTAAAACTTTTTTGTGGTGGCATTCAATCCAACTCGGCCTAAAGTTCGATACCAAGAAATCATACATTAAATATTATTTGAAAAAAATTTACTTGGCAGATATTTGAAGAGAGAAAAAAACTAGAAATTGCCTCATCCATTCGGAATTAGGCGCAGTAATGCCTATCGTCCCTGAACAGGCGCCACAATTTATAGCCAGGAAGCTGCGCGTCGCCGGCGCCACTCAATTCTTCTCCGTCGCTGTCGACCACTCATTTAACCGCCCTTGTCAACCCGGAATACAGAAAAAAAATTAAATAAAATTACAAATAGAAAATAAAAAGATAAACTGATGCTGAGAAGCCTCGGTCCAACAATAGCGCACTGGAAAAGGCATCAAACGCATCCGGATTCCTTTGAAGAAGAAAACTTGAATTCTCTGGCATCCTTGTGCACAGCAGTATATACTTGTTTTAAATATCAATATTGAGTCACCCAGATATATATTTTTTTTTTTACAAATAGTTTAGGCCTTTGATGAAGATGAGAACAACAGGTCTGATTAGATTCTAAGAAGTCAAAACCTGTTTGGGGGAATTCCAGGCTTCTGGATGTATCCTGGACTTCTAAGAAACCCCATCTGTCAGTGAAGCACACAATACCTCAGATGATGTAATACAGTGAGCCCCCCACATGCGGACGATTCGACCTAGGGACACTTACTTTACCATGAAAAAATCACAAAAAAGTCCCAACATGAGGACATTGACTCGACATAGGGACATTTTGCAATAAAATTGCAAATAAATTTCCGGCAAAATTACAAGAAACAGATGTTTCCAACCCTAAAATTGATGTAAGAAAAGTTCTTGGGCTTCACTTGAATTTTATTTTTACAGAAAATGCCAACACTTCTATGTACTGTACAGATGAGGTATCAGTATTCAATTCCCCAAATGTTCATATTGTGTTGAAATACATTGATTGAATCAGTTTAAATTGGAAGACAATTTTTGATTTTCACGGAATTAGGGTGAGTATTTTGTACATGAAACACCAATCAAAAATTATATAATGTAAGTCTAAGGGAAAATGAGACTCAAGTTGGGGACATTTTGACTTAGGGACACTCTTGATGCACCAATTACATCTGCATCTTGGGGTCTTACTGTACAGTATTTGTAATTCATGTACAGCATTTTATCTTACTGGTACAAGAGGATTTCCACCTATCTAGGATCTTCATTCAGTTGTACAAATAGCATGCAAGCAGGTCAACTGATTGATCAATGCAAAACTATACTGTACTGTATAGATTGGATAATTGTTAGCAGAATCCCAAATAATTGATCCAGGTCAGTATAAATTGCATGAAACATGGTCTGCTTCAAATGTAGAATAAATTAAAAAATTAAACAACCACAAAACAAAAGATATTTTATTATATAGATATCTCAAAATTATAAACTAGTTTTGTGGTGAAATACAGGGATAACTAGAAGTTGCTTCAAAAATATTTTTTAAATCTTACAGAAAATCTTCTGCAGTATACATTTTATGTTTTTTATCAAATGGAATTCTGGGAAAAGAAAATGTGATGATGAAGATTTCCTATGAAAAAGGCAATGGCAGTTTTTGTGAAAGGCAATTTTTTTTAACAAACTTCACAAATTAAAATTTTTGATTTAGGAAGTCTTCTCTGACAAACAAAATAGTGACTGAGAGAGTTTAAAATGTGCTCAATAAAACTGGGAAAATCAAAGATGCATATGACTGCACTGGAAACTTCCTTTCTGAATTGTGCAAGAAATTACTTGGTACTGTAAAAATATGTGTTTGAGATAAAGTATTAGACAATAAGAAATCAAAAACAAAGACAACCATGCTCAACAATGTCAAGAATGCATAAGAGCCTTTTACATGCTTGTAATATTGCTTAGTCATGGATTTTTTGGAAATACAATCCAGAAAATCTTGCTAAATAAAAATGAAATACAGTACTTTGTTAAAACTTACAATAATGTATACCTGCAACAGCAAAAACAATCAGAAAAAATAACAAAAGGCTTCATACAATTAATAATACAGGAAATGTAGCTTTCATGAATCTATACTGACTTTAAGCATTACACTACATACATCTGTGTCAAAAATGTTTCCAAAATTCCTTCTATGCATTTTCCATAAAAATAATAACAATTCCACAGCATTGACATAAACTGATGTCTGATAAAATAAAAATTGCATTAGAAAGCAGGAAACCTACCCTCAGCACAATCAAGACTATGAAAAAGCTATTTTTAATTTGAATTTTTTTTAAAGCCAAAACCCCTCAAGTATAGATATACAGCAGTTATATTTGTAAAATAATACATTTTCATGCTGAAAACTATCCAAAATTGAGTTTCATATCTCAAGCATGCATTAATTTTAGTTTGAATACACATTGATGTGTATCAAGTCCATTATGCGAGTTATGCATTATCCAGGAGATTGTATCAGAGGGTTGTTGTCTGAATTTTTGAAACTAGAAAGTGTACACAAATCATCAGAAAAATTGAAGATACATTCATGTGAAACTATTTATAGAAATCAAAGCTTCATACATACTGTAAATTATAGATGTTCCTGATTCCCTTTTTTGACAAAAAATGGGAGTTGAACAATATTTTATCTTACTTGAAGGCATTTGAATGTGGGTTGATTAACTTAAAGTGTTCAAAACCCAGAAGTGAGTTCATAAATCTTTCTTTTTCAGTTCTTCAAGGGGAATAAACTCCCATGAATGAGGACATGCATATGTATCATTATTACATTCTGCTGATGTAAGTTGTCCAATATGAGCATTTTATGAAATTTCATTTGAATATATGAAACTATACATTCAAGGTTTTAGGTCCAGGCCTCCCATGGTATATGTAGTCTACATATCTTGATCCTTTCTTCATTTGTTACCTAGGAACCACTACATATTTCATTTGAAAGGATATTCATTATATTATTTATGCATAAAAAAAAGCTAATGTTTTACCTAGTGCATCCAATGATTACTCATGCAACAAACCCAAGAAAGGAAAATGTGAGTTGAAGACTAACTGTGGGGATCAGTTATTGATGGCATCAGGAAAAGACTGAGTTTGTTCATGACATTGGAGACCACAAAAACGTCGAGAGGGAGAGATTCAAGGCAACAGGAAAGGCATCCGGAAAAACCGGTCCAGGCAATTACAATCTCAAGATAGAAATCATTTCCTGGGTTCTGGTGCTGCAGCTGCATGAGATCCAAGCCAACTATGATACATTAATGTACACCTTCTTCTATGACTTTTTTCTTCTTCACCATAGCCAAGGCAAATCCAGCAGAAGATGGGGGCAATTTCTGAATCTATAAGGGAGGTATCAGCAAGGGATGCAGACTGGCGCATAGTGGGTAAGTGGGTGGGAGATTTGCCATGCAATAACCAGAAGTGAAGCATCTTCAACAACAACTGCTGTGTTTGCCCAATTTTGATTTTCACTTCATTTATAAGCTCAAAAAATCAGAAAATATCAGATTAATTCTTGAAATTTTTAAACTTTTTCACAGAAGCAGCAGGTAAGTTAAAGGGCTGCTAAAAACATTTTTGAAAGAAAACCAAGTCCAAAATTAAATTCAAGAAATCTTTGTACTCTAGAATCTTGTTAGATGATGAAGCATTGTTTTAAAAAAAAACCCTGAAGAGAGCTTTGTTATTTAAAAAAATTGTGGAGACAAAATTAAAATTAAATTGTGGCTATTTA